TGTCCCACCGAATTCTGCAGAGTAGCGACCCTGCAGGGTGCTCATTCCACCCCGAGACGTGTCTAGGTTAAGTATTGGAAGTGTGTAACCTGCTGGCATGTCCTAATGGCCTGCCTGTTAGATAGCAAAACGTGTGTGAAGGAGTGAGAGTCTCAAGGGAAGGATTCATGACACAGCATTTCTGCTAACTCCCTTTCTTAAACTGGAGGTGAAGCCTGAGTTGGTGATACAGGAGCCAGAAGACACACCTGATGCTCAGGGATTTGTGGATTTCTTTGTTGGAGTTCTTAGCTTCACCTTCTCTTTGCCTTTGTGTCCATTCCCCCATGTGCTGCATCACCAAGGGACCTCCATAGCCTTTCTGTCTCTCCCTTTCAGAGCACAAAGGAGAAGGCAAAGTGAATACATCTGGGGCTAAAGACTTGGTCCTTATTGTTTATCAGCTTGCTCACACACTCTCATTAAACAAATGTTAAATGTTAATAATAAAAAAACCCCAAAACAATGAGAGCTTCTGCCATCACAGTTGTTGAGTCCTGAACAAGCAAGTGAACTACAGAGCTGCTCAGAAAGGACATCCTACCAAAGCTTTTCTGACATTTCTGTTCAGCAGAAAGGGGCTGCAGCTCTGAAGGCACTTGGTATTTTCCATTGCAGATAAGTGGCTTTTATTTTGCTTTCTCACAACTGCCTCTCTGGGGCTTCTTTCACTTCCTGTGCTTTGCTGTTGAGCAGCTCAGTTTTCTTTTGGCTCTTCAATATTTATTCACATTGAGATTTTTCTCTAATGCAGCATCAGATGAGTTCTGGACCAGAGAATATGACCTTTTAGGACAAGGCACAAAAACAAACACTGGGTGGGTATTTATTATTGCACAGAGTCACTCAGTTCATGAACTTAGTAAAAGTAAGCAAAATAATACATCTAACAGACTATGCATTTATGTAGATAGGAGGAACATGCATGGTCATGAAGCACTGGGAAGAGGTATTGAATGTTGTGCTTCAGAGTTCAAGCTGATCTCTAGCTGTAAGGGATTAGGAGGAAACTCAGTCTGGGGTAAAGCCACTCTGTCTCTGCTTTCTGCAGGGCTGTGGTCCCTCTGCTGTGGCAGCTGTTGCCAGCTACTGCCAGAGAGCAGGCACTGAGCACATCTGGCTGCCTCTCTGAGTTCCCGTGCTTCAGGAGTGGTCTGTTTACTTCATGCTACAGGAATAGTAATAAAATAAATAACACAAAGTGCTGTGGCTGGGATTCAGTGCTTGTTTTCCTCATCTTCCAAAAGATGGCAGGGAAGTGGTATCCCTCCAGCTATCACTGTACTTGCCTTCGTGCTTTCTCCATGGATGTGTTGCTTCACTGCTCTCACAGTGCATATGGAGTCTTATCCTAAAGAAATAAGATGCTGCGTTACTCTCAATCCATGGTTTTATGATGACATTTCCAAAGTGGAGTGCTTGGGCTTTATCTGTTTCCAACTTGCATTGGTTTAAAAAAAGAAACAAAACAATTTTTGATGGACCAGAAGAAACATTACATTTTATTTGCATCTTAGCTACCAGCTGAAAACTGGTTTTGTTTGTTTGTTTGTTTGTTTGTTTTTTCACAGCTATTACCATTTCTGGGAGATAGGATACATTGGTAGTTTCATGCTTTACATCTTATTATGGATTGCAGTCCCTCAAAATTAATTTGTTTGCTAACAGGTTTTGGAGTCCCTGGTGGCATAGCCTACAGAGCCCTAAGGGTTCACAGGTGACAGGAAGATGACTGTGCTAGGGAGTAGAAGATATCTCTCTCCTCTGGGCCTCAGTACTCAGCGAGTTCCTGAACCCAGAGGAGAGTTTTCATTCCTGGCTGACTCTGCGAGTCTTCTGCTCTGAGCTGACGGGTAGCACTAGTAAGGGGTGCTCTGCTGCTTCTCATGAGGGTCACCTCCTTCCTTGGCATGAGACCACTCCTCACCTGGCACAGTTATCAGTCTTCTCCTCAAAGCCCTTCCACTGCAGACACACAGAGCTGTTCAGTTCCTGACAGCATCTTGGTCCCAGATGTGCCTGCAATTGTGCTATCCCCTGTGCAGGCATCAGAATAAGTGTCCATGCAACTCCTTGCCTGTGAACTGCTTTTTTGTTCCTTAGAGGAAAGTTTCTGCTATTAAGTCAGCATGTTGCAGCGGCAAGCACTGTGCAGAGAGCTTTTGTTCCTGTTTTTCATGTTCACGAGTTTCTCTGTGCAAGAGTGGCTGTGGTTTTGCTCGGAGCAGTATCTCCGTTCTGCGAAGCCATTGCACTCTGCTGCATGGCTGGCTGAAGGGACAACGGAGGAATTTGGGCTGTGGGATCTGACTTTGATGTAAAATCTGCAGCTTGCACAAGTGTTTCACAATGTCATTTTTTTCTTCCTTACGCATGCAAATGCATTGTTTACCCTTGCAATTTGAAGAGAAGTTGCTAGTTGTGAAGCATTTCCAGCAGTTCCCTAACAGACAGTGGTGGGAGTCTTTGGACAACAGCTTCCAGTTCATTTTGTGTTTATCCTACGCGTATTCCCAGTAACTTCTGACTGAGCCTTGTAGGTTAAAAAGGCACTAAGAATGGTTAAAATGGACACCGACTTCTGAAGTCAGCAGGACAGCCACTGGCTTTCTGGCTGCTCTCCCCCTGCCCGAGGCCGGCTCAGCGGGCCATCCACTGGCTTGCTGGCTGCTCTACCCATGCCAGAGCCTGGCAGCTCTGGGCAGCTCTGAACTCTTGCTCACTCGCCCTTCCACAGCAAGCATCGCTCTCTGTCCTTCTTTTCTCCTCTTCCCAATGGCAGGAGCAAGCTGGTGTGCACTATACTGCTGAGATTACAAAGTCCGGAAGTGATTGTGATGCCTCTCTCGGTTCAAGTTCATCCTTTTTTTGCTCCCCCATGTAAACCAGGTTGTGCAGTCGCATGACAATGTTACTTCTGTGCTGCAGGGAACTTCTGGATCTGACTTGCCGTCTTGCCAACACCCTGAAGAAATATGGCATACAGAAAGGGGACAAGGTGGCCATCTATATGTCCGTGTCTCCGTTGTCTGTGGCAGCCATGCTGGCTTGTGCCAGGATTGGTGCTGTTCACACTGTGGTCTTCGCTGGATTCAGCGCTGAGTCCTTAGCTGGGAGGATCATGGACTGTAAGTAGATGCAGGTTGGAGAACAATCCCCTCTGAACAGTGTTCCGAGACATATCCCAATTCTGTGTTTTCTTGGCAGAAAGAGAAAAGGTTCATTCTCAGCTGGTGGGACAGTTCACTTTTCTTTTCAAAGTACTGTGAAGAGCCTTTCCCTTAGTGGCAGATGCAGTGGCCTCTGGCCTTAAAATACTTTATAAATTGCTTAACATTCAGCCTGTGCTGGGTTACTGCCAGACAACAGTGAAGCTGGAGGGAAAACCAGAGCTTAGGAATGGGGCCTGATTTATTCTTTCGCAGTATAATCACAGTGTTTCTTTGATATTCCTTCACAGTGTTAATTCTGCAGTCTTGACTGTGGTAGCGTGATTTATGTATAGCGATGGAAGAGTTGGCAGCCTGCCCCTGCTGTTAGCCGTCGTACCAACAGGAAGAGTTAAAACACTTGTAGTGTGATTAGGTAAAACGTCATGGTAAAAATACCAGCAGAAGAAAAAAATGGCAAGGGGCTCATGTCCTAGGAGTCACATCAGTTTCTTTATGGCTAGGGTGAGGGAGTAAGTCTTACAGCAGTTTTCATGCTTTTTTTCCTGTTTTAGTAGAGTTAATCTATAGAGAGCACATACATGTTTTGGTTATCCCTCACTTTTGGCTACTTGTGTGGAGGTGGTGGGCTAAAAGGCGTTTCTCTGCAGCCACAGGTCTGTAATTAACGTAGAGTGGTACAGTTTGAAGTGCTCTGCCAGAGTGCTGCTATGTGCTGTGGCTTCCAGGAGGTTTCCCCTCAAGGTATGGGTAAGTTTCAGAAGGTTGCAGGTATCTCAGAGCAGGATAACGCCTCTGAGAGGCTGCTGAGTTTGGTGCTGCTCACTTCAGTTTGCAATGGACACCTGTATGCAGCCCCAGACAGAGGATGAGAGAGGGGCAAAGGTGCTTGGTCACTGAGGTCCTTTGAAGTCTTGCTCGGGTTTCAGTGCACGAGCTGTTAGGCTAAAGCAGCAGTATTCACTATAACACAGGTGGCTGGGAAGAAACTGTTCTGCATGTCAGCTTTGCTAGGCAGGAATGGAGGCATTTAAATTGCAGTGAGTGATAGGGTAGACATTGGGTAGGACTTTCTCATGTTCATGATAGGCATTGGAGTGGGCTGGCAGGGAGAGTGTAGAATAGCTCCCATTGGAGTGTTTTAGGAAGGTTGGACTGACAGCTGTCAGAAATGGTTTAGCTGAAGTGGACCCTGCCTTGGGGTGGGAGAGATGGACTAGATAACCTATGGAGATTCCAGATACCCCTAATCTCTGAAAGTGTTTTCTTCAGTGACACTGACTTTTTTTGATTGATAGAAATTCTGAGTACTTGTCACACATGTTGTCCTATACTGTCATCCCCAAAAATAATGAAAGCAGGGTACACATACTAGCCTGGAAGACAGGCTGATACGTCTCCTAATTCTTTCTCTTTTTAGCTGGATGCAAAGCAGTTATCACCTACAACCAGGGAGTTAGAGGAGGCCGTATCATAGAGCTGAAGACGACTGTGGATGAAGCTGTGAAGAGCTGTCCAAACATCAAACACGTCTTTGTGGCTCAGAGGACAGATAACAAAGTCCAGATGGGTGACCGTGATATTCCCCTTGAGGAGGTATGTTGGTGTTGGTAAACCTTGTCTGTTTCTCTTAATGTTTCCTGAAGTATGGGATGTTTACTGTATGCTGGAGGAGAGAAATATGGTGCACAAGAAAATGTGGGGACCAGCTAACACTGCCCCATGCAGGGCAGTTCAGAACATGTGTATGAGTCTTGCTGAATGTGTAGATCATGCACACTCTGGTATTTGGCTTTGATCTGCTGAAGGCTACACTAAAAATTGTCAGCCAGGGAAGATCAGGCAGTCTCCATACTTTCCTTGCATATGTGTGCTGAGCTAAAAGCCTGTGAAGCAGCTGCTGCACTGCAGCTTGGCACTCTAGTGTAGCTGCACCAGAGCTGCCAGCGATGACTGGCCTTCATACTGCCTCTGGAGCAGGTTTTCAATGTGTGCTACCCTGCTGGGCTGATGGATACAGCTACGTGGCAGGAACAGCATCTGTATATCCCTGCAGTCACCTCGTTCTGCAAATGCCCACTGGCACTCTGGATAACTCCTTTGAGGTCTGGGTGTTGGCTAGATCATCTTTCTCTCCATCTGTGCCTTTTGGACCTGGGTTCTGCAGATGAAAAGGAGATGTCCCTTATGGCATCTGGATCTGCATCCTCAAATGGATTGCCAGTATTTACAGTCTGCTAGGATTGTGAGTTGAAGCAGCTCAATCTATGTCTGAGTCATCTCAGCATGGGCAGGGGGTATTCTGCTCCATTTTAGTAGTCCTGTAAACAGTGCTGAGATTTTAGGAAGGAGTGTTTCCTGAGACCCAAAGTGCACTGATACCATTGCTGCTGTTATACTGTGTGCAGACACTCTGTAATGGCCTGTCATATGCACTCTCAGATGGGACACTGTTGAAAGGCAGTGCAGAAATAATCAAGTTCCTGGAGAGGCTTAATATAGCTTATGGACAGTGCTGGGGTTATCCCACCATGGGAGGACAGTGAGGGCTTGGGAATATTTAGAACCTATGCTTCCTGGGGAAGAAAGCAGCACTTGTTTTAATGTGTTTAGTTGGTAGACATGGGGCTGGTACACATGGGACTGCAGCCTATGCAGAAGTAGTTTTATCAGTTTGCCGGCAGCAGTAAACATCAACTATTCATCATAATACTGCCTGGAAGTCACCCATCTGCAGCTAAGATAATTACTCAGGAGTCCCTGTGCTGGTCACATGAGATAGGAGCAACTGCTAGGGTAAGTGAAACAGAGAAGGCAGATTTTATTCGGCAATTGTCTTACTCCTTCTTACTCCACAAAGCACATTCTGATGATTTTCCTGTGTCTGCAAACAGCCTGAGGCGTTTTGGTTGTCCAAGAGCTGAACTCAGCCCATTGTCAGTTGTAGGGTCTGAAACATAACAAGAATTAAGCCATTTATGCCATTGATTCTGTCATTACTGATCTTTACAGAAGCTGAGCTTTCCAGATCTTGTGTGATGGCTTACTGCAAAATTTAAGCTCATGTTGTAGTGGAGCATATGAGAACTCCATCTTAGTTTCGAAAACTGACAAGTCAGCCTGAATTGGCAATGTTGAAATGTCACAATAAATACCTGAGATGAGCAGGAGTGCTGTAATTCAGAGGCTAGGAATTACATCTGACCCTATCAACTCTTCATATTTTATTAAGTGTTGTTTGTCAAACACTGTTAAACAATTGGCCCTGCTGTTCACAATGTTCACTTGTAAATTCAGTATGTTTATCATGTATACTTGTAAAAAGTACCTAGAAATTCCTTCAAAAAGCCAGCTAATACCCCTTGCGGGAATCATTGTTCATCTAGGACAGTACAGAACTTGAGAGAAGCAAGCCAGCTGTGCTTTTTTTACAGCCATATGTTGAGCATCTGGAGCACACAGTGATTATTGCAAGTTTGTACATGGGTAAGAAAAATGTTCATCTACACCCTGAGCAGATGAGCCCTCTTCTGCTACAAGGTTCATGGACCACAAGCTTCTCTTTCAAAGCACATTCTTTCCCCTTCCTCTGCTGAACTGGGCACACAAGCTGGACCAAAATTTTGCTCTGACCTAGTAGGACATTGTATCCTTCCCTCCAATGGCTCTGACCATAGGCGTGAGGAGGGGGTCCCAAGCAATTAGAATCTGAGGACCGAATGGACAGGACCATCATCCACTGCTGGGGCCAGGGAAGAGAGATGAATGCACAGTTTAACTGTAGCACTGCAGTTTTAAAAGGAAAAGGAAGGTCCTGACAGTATCCAGCCAGCTTTGCTGCTGCTGTCGAGTGTGGTTCATGTTTGCAGTCCCACTTTGGTTTTCTACCAGCAGCTTTCAAAGGGTTGAAATGTAAGCTATGACACACCATTTTTTTCCTGAAATGTTATTTTATCTGGCCAATTCTCCTTGATCTCTGTGCCTAGCAGAGGTATTGGTGGCGAGGCTAGGTGCTGTGTGTCCACAGGAACCTTTCCACTAGGTGAGCACATATAATCTATGCTGGACATTTGTGAGGGAGCAACAGCAATGGTGGTTCCTGTCCCTGGACACTGCGGACATGCTTACAGATGGAGTATTGGTTGGCTCCATATAGCCAAAGGTCTTTCTGTCATTACCACCTTTTTTTTCCTTAGGAGATGGCCAAGGCAGCTTCGGTATGCGCTCCAGAGAGCATGGACAGTGAAGATATACTTTTCATGCTGTATACTTCGGGTAGCACTGGGAAACCCAAAGGAATCGTTCACACCCAGGCTGGATACCTGCTGTATGCTGCTGTCACGCACAAGGTAACGCCACTGCATCCTCTGGAAAAGGTTTACTTGCCTTCCAATGGTACTAACAAGAGGGACTTGGACTGATGGGGGTTGCTGTTGTTCTGTGTCAGCTGCCCAATTGGCTTACTTGGTGTAAATGAACAGAAAAATATCAAAATGTGTAATTAATCATCAGGATTTTTTTCCTGGGGATTATAATACTATGCAAACCAGAGCCCAGAGTTATGAAAGGAAGAAAACTGCGGTGCTGCTACTTTTGCATTTAAAATGTGCTACTGTGCAGGCCAAAGTTTGCGGACATTGAAGTGATGAGGCTGAGGAGATTCTGGTAAGTATCTTACTGGTGTTGGTAATGTAGATGTTGCTGTAGGATTTTGCAGTGGGATGCTGGCCTTTTTTATTTCAGAGAGGATGTGGACTGTTAAAACAACCCCTTTGCATAGCACTTGTTGTCTGAAGATTGAAAATTACATTCATATTCTGTGGCTGCACATTTGTGCTGCTTTTCTATGTGATCTAGGCTAAATGTTTTAACCCCTTTCTCATAAAAAAAAAGTCAAGCCACTGCTTATTGAAATTTCTGATCTGGGCTCTGCATATGAAAAGGTAACAGTGAAATGTATAGAGGATTGCAGTGGAAGATGTCCATCTGGCTTTAGTGGTATCACCTTGTTTGTAATCGCACACAATTCAGGCAGAGGTTTTCTTTCTTTAGGCTGATACAGCTGAAGTTTTTTAGAAGACATGAATGTGCAAATATCAGACTTCTCTGCATGAAGGGTATTTGTTTGGTCAGCTTTTCTAAGTGACAGTGTAAACTCCAAGGCATCCCTTTCTTAGTCAAGAAGGTAGATCCTGCACCCTGGTGAAGACATGCAGGGAAGCACTCTATGCAGCTGCGATGCCTTTAAAGGTACTTCAGGGCCTGACAGGGAAAGGCACTTGCAAAGGTAAGGTGAGAATTAGCTCCCCTAGGTAGAGGGATCAGCTGACCTGTGCAGCCTCTGTGGTCATTGCACACTCACGTGTGACACTTCTGTCACACATCCAAGGGTTGGGTTTTTTTAGTTCTAATCCACTTTCCTTTAGAACATAAAACTGACTCTGCCTTATGAGTGAGGACCTCTTCACCATATGTTGGAGGAGTTAGATTTACAATGAGAAGCATTTTCTGTAACCAAGACAAGATAATGAGTTCTCCAGTATTTTTATCTTGAATTAGATGAGCAGGGAGAGGGTAGCATCTGAAACAGGATACACTGATAGAGAAGCTCTACAGCTAAGAACATTTATTAGAAAATGTCTCATGGGCACATATCAGTTTCTCGAGCTTTCTCATGGAAACCTGTTCATATTTCTGTGAGGCATCTGAGCCTTTGAGGCCCTGAAATTCTGGGTCAGCTCTCCCATGTGGACTGCCTGGAGTAGACAACCTTAGGTATCAGAGCTTTGGTCTTTGGTTATAAGCTTTGTTCCTCCAACCTGAGCAGTTCCTGGTACAGCCATGCTCCCTGTATGTTTGCGAAAGCTGTCAGGAGCCTGGAAACACTGGTGCTGGTCCCCCTGACTTGCTTCCTCACCTTGGGCTGGCCTTTATACTGCTGTGTCCTATGTGCCTGGCTCTGCTTGCCTTGTGTGCTCTCTTGCAGTCCAGCACTTTACCTTTAAGCTCTTTGTGCCTGGCAACAGAAAATCAGCTGGCCTTACATTTATCTTTGCAGTATGTATTTGACTACCAGCAAGGCGATGTTTTTGGCTGTGTGGCTGACATTGGCTGGATCACAGGACATAGCTATGTTGTGTATGGACCACTCTGCAATGGAGCAACCTCTGTCCTGTTTGAAAGCACTCCGGTGTACCCTGACCCAGGTGAGGAAGTGGTGGGAAAAGGTTTGGCTAGACATGGCAGTGTGACAAAGGAGATTTAGAAACTTGTCTGGTGTGACCTGCCTGCTCAGGAAAGGTAAGCTCCATTTCTTTGGAGCATGTGTCTATGACATTCAGGAACATCTGTGCATCCAAGATGGAAAAAAAAAAAAAAAGTTGACATTGGTTTTGCTCTGTACTTGCAATAGTCACAGCTTTACCTTTGGCTGTTAACCTTCCTGCTGCGTGTTTGTGATCTTGCAGGTCGTTACTGGGAAGTGGTACAAAGGTTGAAAATTAATCAGTTTTATGGAGCACCTACGGCTATACGCTTGCTGCTGAATTATGGAGAAGAGTGGGTGAAGAAATACGACAGGTCTTCCTTGAAGACCTTGGGATCAGGTAGGGGACATGAAATCTTCTGAAAAAGACAGGGGGTTCTAGCTGGTGAAATGAAGGTACCAGAGGAGCGTGACTGACAGGATAGGATGTGGTTAAAAATAAATGATAAAGCAGGCTCTCTGGCTTTTCAGATATTTTCTCAGCAGAAGGGGAAACAAACAGACGTTGAGGCCATTGAACCTTAGTGTGATTGCCTAGCTTATTTTGCAGGATCACATTCGTTGTTAAAAAATTTATCCAATGGTAAATTACATCACTTTGAATTTTCCTGTCTTAGGTGACCCAATCAGATTTTCCTGCATTATTTAGGATTCTAGAAGTTCTCATATGTGCATTGATTAGTTACTTTCAGTGATATTTATTGCTTGCTTTTTGGTCTTTCTGGGAAAAGTCAGTCCTCATTTACATGAGTGCATTGCAGTTCTTTGCACATCCCAGCAAAAGCGTTGTAAGCGTTCTGCTCAAAGATCGTGTTGTGCACCAAAAGGGGAATGAACTGACTGCAACCCCCTGAGTTTCAGGCTGCTTCCTTTCTTATTTTGGCCTAGTGGGAGAGCCCATCAACAACGAAGCTTGGCAGTGGTTCTACAACGTGGTGGGAGAAGGACGCTGCACCCTTGTGGACACATGGTGGCAGACAGGTAAAAGCATCCTTTGGGGAGCATGGAGAGCCCTGACCACTGACAAGTTGCTGGTGGGTAGAGAAGCAGTAGTACATTTCAATTTGATCACACGAGTCTGTAAAAAAAAAAACAAAACCCTCCTGGCATTTTGATCTGCTTTTGAAAGTCACTGGGGAGTTAGAGCACATAATAGCAATTTAACAGCACATAAAAGCAATAGTAATGTTGTGTTCTTTATTTTTTTCTTTTCCCCTTTAAGTGTTCTTTGATATTCTGAATGCTGGAAAATCTCAATTGGTTCCAGAAACAGGAGGCAAAGATTAAATTTCTGGGCAAAGCTAGGAGTAGGCAGCTTGAATTGGAAACCTGATTTTCAATTATTTGCTGACCTTGATACAGTCTTATCATGAAACGGCATTTGTAACACCATATAGCCACAATTAGTACTTGGGTGTGCTTTGTTTCCCTTCCTGGGAACGGTCAGAGGAGGAAACTAAGCTGTGTAGTCAGAGACCTAGTGCAACTGCTCAGGTGGGTTGGAAAGGAGTGAGGGGAGATTCTCTGGCTGTGGATCAGGTGGTGGGGGGACAGGGGCTGTCACCCAGCAGGGCTGCCTAGGAGCAGCTTCTCCCAGGAGTGAAGTAGTCTGTTGTAGTTGCTTTGGCTCTGGACCTCTGATGCATCAAAAAGAGAGTGCGCTTCTGTTTTGGCAACAGGCTAGGCCCAGCTGTGTGCATTAGTTAAGGCGTGTTTTCCATTTACAACCTGCTGGACAGAGTGACTGGCTCTTGTAGATCCCTGTCCAGTTGGAGCAGAGCTGGTCCCTGCCTCTTGCCCTCCCTGGCCAGCAGCAGAGAGGCCACAGCGCTGCACTCTGGCTGGGACTGTGCTGCCTGCTGGAGCCCTGCACTTGAAGGAGACCTGCAGCTCCTTCCCTGCTCCTTCCTCAGCACCCACTCCTCTCTTCTGGGCACTGCTAGAGCTGCTAAAGGTGTGTTGCAATATGTCCTTCTCAAGTTGTGAACCACAGCAGTTTGCCATGGAGCCATGGACTCAAAGGATGGAGCACAGCTGCTGGCATTCTGCCTCGGCTGCCAAAAGCCATCCCTACTCTTAAATTTCTAGCTGCCTTTGGGCAGAACATTCATTACTTTTCCAGTCAAGCTGCTTCTGATTTCATCCTTATTCCTGCTGGGAGGCTCTCTCTTCAGGATCCCTGTGGCCTGTCTCAATGTGATGTATTAGCTTCTGGCACACAACCAAATTCCATTTAATCCAAACCAGACTTGCAGAATCTTTTTATTTTCAGATTTGAAATAAAACAACCTCAGAATTCAGAGCAGCAATGTTAACTACCATCAACTTCAATTACTGATCTCTTAAACCATCTGGGTTCTCACATGCTGAGCAGAAGGAAAGCTGACTGGCTAGGTGCTATATGCTTTCCTCCTCACTGCTCTGAAATAAAACACTGTGGAGAAGCAGTTGATTACTGCTGTGATGAAGCTGAGAGGTCTCCTGTTCTGCCATAACATTTTTTTGTTTGTTTGTCTTCAGTTAACTGGTACTTGCAATGTGCATGCAGTGTCTTCTGTTTCCTCTGAAGTACAGGGTTAGATCTTGTATTAAACTCTGCTTCTCCTGGGTTTTTCGAGAAACAGCTGTGAGGTTAAAGAATATTTGCTGGACAGCTGGTGCATCTTACTTTGAACCAGGCATAGTTTTGCAGGTAAACAGTTATCAACTCCTGGAAGCATAATATAATGATAAACATTAATGACATTGATTTTGTTAGAAAGTAGAATCAATCTTTCTCCACAGTTGATGCCTCCAATAAAGAGGAAGCCAAATTAATCTTGGAAACATGTATGCCATTTGAATGTAAAGGGAGTGTGGAAGGACATCATAGAAACAGTTTGATGGATTCTGGTTGTGGTCCTGCAGTGTCACCTCTCATAGACAATTTCAATATCGCTTCTTAATTGTGCTGTTGTGTGCAGTGTCCTCTACGGTATATTGCTCCTCAAAGCAGAAATGTGTTGCCAGCTAATAAAATCTGCTAGGTGTAGAGATCAGCTAATGGTGATTTAAGAATCCACTTGAAAGTCTTTTGGATGAGCAAACGAGTGAGATAGATAGCAATTACGAGAGGCAATCTAAGTAGTGTGGTATACGCAGATGAGAGAGATGGAAAATTCCTATGGTGCTTACAGTTAAAGTATTAGGTAGTGCTGTCCTGTGATTGACAGTAATAGAATCACAACTGTGTTTGAGTTTCGGGTGTAGTTCTTTACAGTGCAGAAGAGACACTAGGTATTGTTACTTCTGTCATTGGTTTTATAAAAAAAGTACAGCTGTTGTATGCAGCTGTGAACAAAAGCCGGTTTTGAAAGGCATCTCTGAAAAGGCCCAGGAAACTTATCTTGTTGGCATCATCTCATAGTGATTTAGACTGGGCAGGTGTTTCTGAGATGGATTCTCTCTGAAGCAGTCAGTCCAAACTATCTGTGGTGGTGAAAGCAACGGTGACAGAGAGTACACGCTCTGCCCTGCTGCTAGAGGTGATTTACTTACAGCAGGGTTCTGAGGCATCACTGTCACTGCTCAGACTCTTGCTCTCCTTGCTTAAAGTCTGGGTAGATTTGCACTGTGGTAACAGCATGGGCACAGGTAACGTGGAAGCATGGCTATTTTTCTGCCAGCTCTGCCTCTGAAGAGACAGACTTCATAAGGGTAGGGTAGAGCCTAGAAGCCTTGCTAGTTGTCATCTGTCAATCGCTAAAATTGGTACTTCTAAACCTGTTTAAAATAGGTCTTTAACATGCAAATAATTTTTAAAGCATCCCTGCCACCATGCAGCTGCCTCTGAAATATGACTGTACTGCCTTATGCACAGCTGGCTGCAGGATGTGGAACCCATGCTGAAACATAGCCTGCAGTGCTTTATTCGGAATGAGTACTGGCTTAGGAAAAGCAACCATCAGTGTAATCAGGTTCCCTGCTCTGGCACAGATTTTGTCTGTGCAAACAGAGAACAGCAGCTATTTGGGGTTCTTTTTTCTTCTGAAGAAAATCAAGATGGCTCTTTCAGAATAAACAGAAACATGTGAAGTGGATGCATGCCCATCAATGAATTGTGAAATTATTTTACGTGTAAGCCACATGTGAAACTATTTTCTGCAGGTCTGAAGCTTAGCGTTCCTCAAAGAGACCCTTCCTCATAGCCATGTCAGGGCCGCTGGATGTAAATTCAGGGTCAAATTCAGCCTCTCCAGCCCCTGGTTCCAGTTTTCACAACCTCAGCAAAGCTGGTAGAGAAATGCACTCTCAAAGTGGCAGAACATATCTTTATTTATAGAGCTGTATTTTTAAAGGCCTAATACTCCTTTGTTTTTGTTTCTCTCTTGTGTTTCTGAGTTCATTTTAGAATAGAAATGATCTGATTAAGGTTGGAATCTGATTGAATGTTCATCTCAGCAGAAATGAAAAAGGATGATTAAAAGGTTCAATTCTGAATAGAAGATAAGCTCAACCTGCCTGTAAGGGGTGGGTTAATCTCATACTCTGTAATAATAGTAATTCAGACTCCTGAAATGTTTTTCATGCTAACCTTAGACAGCTGTGAAAACAGTACTGGGTGATAAATCCTCTGACATGCTTACACTCTCCCTGTAAAATCACTTGTGGGGTAGGAAATGAGGCTGTTGAGTACTGCCCTTGCCACCAGGCAGCCCTGGTAGTGTGAGGAGGACCTGCAAGGCTGTAAAGATGCATTAGAGCTGCCTGTATTTGTTGCTGGTTGGTAGCTGTAGAAAGGGATTTATCTGTGAGCTGTCTTAGGGCCAGATGTAGGGCACAGAGCGCTTGGGATCTGTGTCACTAGGGTCTTCACTCTGACTGTTTGGTTTGCCATGGACTGGGCTATGGGAAGGCTCTTGAACACACACATTGTGGCTGCTGCTGCAGGGTCCGCAGGCCTTCTGGTGCTGAGCCTGTGTACTGCTCTCCTCTGAGCCTTTGAAGAGCTAAGCCAGACATCAGCGATCTTGATGCTCTGTGGCACGGTGAGGTGCACTTCCCCTGAGGCAGCTGCTTGGCCACACTCTGTGTTTTGTCAGTGGGGCCGGTGAATTTTGCAGCCAGCACTGAATGAGGCACCATGCAAACAGGGAGCAGGATGCTTTTATCCAGCATTAGAGGGACCCCACTTTTGTTTTTCATTATTCTTCCAGAAACTGGTGGCATCTGCATTGCCCCACGGCCTTCCGAGGAGAAAGCTGAGATCGTTCCGGCTATGGCTATGAGACCTTTCTTTGGGATTGTGCCCGTGCTGATGGATGAGAATGTGAGTTTTGGCTTTGCTGGGTACCCAAAAGAGAAGCTGCTGCATCTTTCTGCCTTAATCACCTTTCCAATGGCAGAGGGACAGGATCTAGAAAGATGTTTGTTCCTCCATTAAAAAGGTGGAATACATGAGCACGATATATATTGAGCGTATCTCAGAGATCCATACAGATTGCTAGCTGGGCACTGCAAGCTGTCTGCCGATCTCTAGAGGAGTGATTGCATTTTCAGCAACACTTCTATGGTCTTACACTGCTTCTGATTAAGAGCTGCTGCCTCCATTTATGAGAGAAGTCAGAAGTCACACAGCTCCTGGGAACCAGGATGCTGAGCAGTTGGAGCAGTGCATTGCAGTGGCAAGTGATGTGGCAAGACTGGAGCAGCCAACGGGACTGGTGGAGTTCTCCAAGAGAATTGCAAGGCATGAGGCCCTGCAACTGTGCTTGTCTGTGAGAAAACTGGTGCTGATCTGTGAGCTGTGTGGAGCCATCCCCATCTGCACTCCAGTGCTCTGTTAAACAGTAAAGCATGTTATCTCCTCCATATCATTTGGTAAGGGAATGTGGCAGTCAACAAAACGGAAAGTGGAAAGCAGCGGTCCAGGCATTTCCCTGCTAACCTCATCCCAAGCATCCTCGGACTGCTTGGTACATCTTTGCTGTCATCTGTGCTTGCATTGCCCTCCGGAGAATCACAGGACTCACTTCTCTTTTAGTTTTATCTGCTGTTCTGCTGGCCTCAGGGGATGAGGAAGGCATGATACAGACAGTACGCAGTAGCTCCATGAGTGGATTAATTTTCTCCATCTGTGACCCTCCACTGGCAATCTGCAGTGAGCAACAGGGTGACTCTTGTCAGACCAATGGCACAGAAGCCCTTACTATTCCTATTTTATTCACCTGATGATCCTTCCTGTGCTTGAACCTGCAGGGAAAGATTATAGAAGGTAATGATGTGTCCGGTGCACTCTGCATTGCCCAGCCATGGCCTGGCATGGCAAGAACAATCTATGGAGATCACCAGCGATTTGTTGATGCTTATTTCAAAGCCTACCCAGGTAAGGAAAGTGCCAAGGGGAGGGAGTTTGCACTGCAGTATAAGCACACTGAATATCTTCAGGAGTGATTTGTGATATTTCTGTACCAGCCAGATCTTGGTTTGGGATTGTGCATCACATGTTGCAAGCATGCACTAATGGTCCTAGATAGTTTTCACCTTTTTAGCTGTCAAAAGGGAATGTGTTCTTTAGAAAATTGTAATGCTCAAATTTTAAAGTCCAAATACCTTTTTTTTTTTATTGGAGCCATTTGTGTCTCGCTTGGAAATAGGCATATTGGATTGGAAAGTACCTCCTGCATCACCAAATCTCACCCCTGCTGTCACAGGCTGTGCTACTTCCTTCCTTTTGAAAACATGACCAAGTTGTCTGGCAAGTAATCAGAAGTAGCAGTGAAACATTTTTTGTAGGAGATTGGACAAAATCACTGTCTTCACTCAGGGGAGCAACTGAAAGGGCTTTGAAAGATACATTGTAGCATCTCCCTCATGTGGAAAGGCTGAGGGAGCTGGGTCTCTTTAGTTTGCAGAAGAGGAGACTGAGGGGAGATCTCATTAATGTTTATAAATATATAAAGGGTGAGTGTCATGAGGATGGAGCCAGGCTCTTCTCAGTGACAAACAATGATAGGACAAGGGGTAACGGGCACAAACTGGAACACAGGAGGTTCCACTTAAATTTGAGAAGAAACTTCTTCTCAGTGAGGGTAACAGAGCACTGGAACAGGCTGCCCAGAGAGGTTGTGGAGTCTCCTTCTCTGGAGACATTCAAAACCCGCCTGGACGCCTTCCTGTGTAACCTCATCTAGGTGTTCCTGCTCCGGCAGGGGGATTGGACTAGATGATCTTTTGAGGTCCCTTCCAATCCCTAACGTTCTGTGATTCTGTGATTGTAGAGAAGAATTAGAGAGGCAATCTTGCAAATTGTACAAAATGGTTTGGAAAATAAGAATGGGAAATTGGCAGAAGAAATTTAATAAACCTATAGTCCCTTATTACTCACTACAGGTTTGCATCTGAAATCTTGTTGATAATTAGTTGATAGTTATTTAATTGATTTGGAAGGGCAGGAAGCATGACTCCTGAATTGGCCAACAATAGGTCCATGAATTGGCCAGTAATGGGTCCTGTCAAGAACCACCTCGGGATTTCACAGCACTAGCTGCCTGCTGCTGCTCAGAAGTAACACATGAACAATTCCGATGTGGACATGGCTTTGATGAAGAGCCAATGCAGTCTTTGTCACCAGATGTGTCCTCAGTGACACTCTGGATTTTCCTGGAACTACTGAGTCTTTTTCAGTTTCCATCAAATGTTTTAGACCCTCCAAACACCATGCTTATCATGGGGTTTTTTTTTCAGCTAATCTGATAGCAGTGTTTCTGCCATGCTTATATGCTGGAGTGGGGCTGTTATCTGGGATCTGAATCTTTGTTAGCCAGGAAGAAAAACAGCTTTTCATCCATCACAGTGTAAGTGATGAAAAAAATTGGCAGTGTTCCCATATATAAAATGTAGTAGAATTGCTCCTTTTCAGCTGAACAGTTGTAGTTTTCCATGAGCCTGAGGTGTAGCTAGCAGCAGACCTGAGTTTGACCAATAGCCCATGGTGCAGTGACAAATGGCATTTGGTTTTTATCTTAGTGCTGCATGTGCCAGGCCTAAGCACCCAGTTGCTGTGCAGCTATAGGCGTGTAAAGCCTAGGGAGATCAGAGACCCCCCACCTTGGTTTTGTAAACCCAACAAAGCATCACTGCATGGTGTTGCTGGACTTGGTTTTACCACAGGGACATCAGCCACTGGTTGCTGCTGATTGCCTGCAGTGATTTTGCCTATCTTGGCAGAGATCTGAGCTCCACTGTCTTGGTGCTGCTCAGGTGCTTACTAGGAGCCAGCACAGCCCAAGCAGAGCAGATAAAGGTTGGCAATGGCAGGGGGAAGTCGGAAAAGGTGCGTAGCAGCTCATGCTGCGAGACGCCTGATCCACTCTACCTTACCATCCTAGAGCAGAGTCTGTTCTGCATCAGAGCCCAGAGCAATAGGCTGGCACACTTCCTGCTGCTGACCACCCACATGTCTCTGCTGTAGGTTACTACTTCACAGGAGATGGTGCTTACAGGACCAAGAAAGGGTATTACCAGATTACAGGGCGCATGGATGATGTCATTAACATCAGCGGACACAGGCTTGGAACGGCTGAGATAGAAGATGCAATGGTAAGTTCCAAGCAGGTAGAGATCACCTGATAGATCATATCTGTGGGTCAGGGTGGCTCTTTAAAAGAAGCTTTATGAATTTAAACAAGCACAGGTCTCTTGCCTTCAAACCCTTACTCCTGCATGCACACTGCTTGATGCATAATGAATAGCAAATGTGCAAAAGGAAACAGCTCCCTTATTAAGGAGACAACAAATGGGCAAATGAGAGAGGAGTCACACCATGGGCAGTCCCTGCAGTCAAACTGTCAGAGCTGTGTTTACTCTCAGTAGCGTTGTACTGTTGCAGTTGTAATTTTGGATGCTGGTGGAGTCTCTGTAAGAGACTGTGTCTCCTGTTTGTTCCTTCCCCTCCGTTAACACCTAACCTCTCCTTCCCAAATCTGTGGTTCTTGCTCATCCATACACGTCAGCTGCAAAGCTAGCCGTTGTTTTGATAGAAAATAATATTAGCCCAGGGAATTGAAAACAAAAAGTCCTGAGAACATTTATCTTCAAACCTTGACCTGAATATTTATTTCTGTATTATGTGACTTGCTTGCAAATAGCACTTGAATGTAACATTTTATAAACTTGAGCTGTGTTCATTTGGCACACAGGATCCTATTTTCTCCTCTGTAATTTTTTTTTTGTCTGTGTTGGTTTCTGATCATAGATATAGGATCTGGTTCCTCTCCCACTCTACATATGTGTATGTGTGTGTATATGCAAATATATTTACATGCTTAGATTGTTCTGTGATGTTTTCTTTCATATTTTAATATAATTTAAGATAGTAGGATTCAGATATGCGATTTCTTCCAGTCTGTACACATGAATTGTCTTCTTACTGCAGAAGAATGTTAAATTAAACTCTGAAGTATGACAGAATAAATCACTGTTGTGTAGCATAATAGTAAAAATATGCATTCCACAAAACAACACTTGCCCCCATCTGGGAAGACTGAAGAAGCCTGATTCTTTCTGCCTCCTGGTGTGCTTTGGCAGCTGGCAGCTTCACTTCTGCTCTGCTGGCAACAATTCCATGTGGCACAGGGCAATGCAGAACTGGTTTCACTTGTGATTTGGCCACGGCCAGTCACCACTTGGGACTGTAGCCATGCACACACAAGAGCACAGACAAAGAAAGACAAAGCAGATTTCCAGCTGGTGCAAATTCAGCTTGGTGAGTAGTGGGCTTAGCAGTGTAAGAGTACATATTTCTGTGCTTAAAAGCCAGGCCAATCCAGTGAGCAAATGCTACTCCTAGAGATGTGGCCATGGCCACCAGCTGACCATGCAATAGGAAGGCAGCATCCAACTTTCTTCTTGTGCTGTCAGCAGGATCTGCCAAGGGGAGAGTGATACAGGGCAAGGTGTTTTGTTCCTAGAGCAACTGGCACAAACTCTGCAGGGCTTGAAGCAGTTGTTATGCTGTGTATTTTTGTTTCACTTTTTGTGAAGGCTGGTCACCCTGAGGTCCCTGAGACAGCTGTGATTGGGTATCCACACAAGATAAAAGGAGAAGGTATGTGAAAAGCAGTGTCCTAACATGACACCTATGTGCACTTTCCTTAATTTGTAACCTGGGCTGTGTGTTAGGAGGTGCCTAGGGAATGGGAGGGCAGTTATCCTTAGGTTGACTGGCATTGCAGCCCCAAGAGGCAGACAGCCGTGAAAATAACTGCATGTTCCTAAGCTGGGTGCAGGTATTACTCCTGAAATTCTTTCAACACATAGTGTTTACTTATGTGGTAGAGCTTCCTTAAAAGGACTGTGCATAGAGATGTCCTTTGAACAGAATGGGAGTAGCTGATTTGCATTGGCCAGCTTTTGATCCCAATGACAATTTCATAATTTATGTTGAGTTGGTGTCGTCACTGAGATCAGTCTGGTACATGGATGCCAAGACAAGGCTGGTCCATCATTTAAGGGTTGGAGTCTGACTCCCTTTTGTAAACAGGATCTATGGTTTTCTTGGCAGTCCCTAGATTGCACATAGGAATGATTTGAAACCTGCCTTGGCATTCAAATGTGTATCCCTGGTCTTGCCAACCAGGATCTAATATGAAATATGTGGCTTCTGCTCGTTTGTCTTCCAGGTGCCTTTGCTTTCATAGTGCTGAAGGAGCAGGCAGCTCATATAGATCAAGTCAAAGAAGAGCTCAGAACCATAGTGGCTTCCAAGATAGCAAAATATGCTGTGCCTGACCACATTCTGGTAAGTAGGAGACTGTAACTGGGATAAGGAGCATGAGTGGTCACATTGAACAAGCCTCACCTTCCTGCCAGCAGTGCTGCTGGTGTCCCTCTCTGGCAGTACAAAGCAGCAGGAAAACAGAACTTAGCTGGAGGGATCCCTGGGCAGGGGAGGGCAAGGGCAGTGGTCTGCATGCGCTCCTTCTCCATGCCTGAGGATCAGCAGTGACCCAGAGGGTGGCTGGGATATTACAGCCCCTCCAGCCTGCAGAGCAGCTTCTTGGTGGGGCTATTACAGAGCATGTTTTAGAGCTACCCCAAGGCTGCTCCATTTAGGCCAAGTGCTGAGCAGCCCTCTAAATGAGATGCACAGGGAGTGTTGAGAGCACTGTACTTGGCAAGAGCTCTGGCAGAGGGGAACCCCAGGCCTACCCTGTGTCTCAAGATGCACTTGATGCCCCTGTTCACCATGCAGCAGCATTACTGCTCCATACAGCTCTTGCTAACTCCTTGCTGAAGCAATGTAGAGTTGGTCTCTGGCCCTGTGCAATGAATCAGATAAAACCCCACCAAACTGTAGAGAAATGCCACAAGCTTCAGGGTCACTGAGAGGCAGTGATGCTTTCCACTGGACTGATGATTAGCATCAACCCCAGATCTAAAGCACTGGCTGTTTCTGTTGTGCAACTCTGTCAGCTGTTCAGCCTGACCCTGGGAACACTGATGAACTCCAGGCTCTGTCTCAAGCCTGCTCACCTTCCAGCAGCTCCCTTTGGGTGTTTGGGGAGAGTGCACAAAGCTGCCCTTAGTGGCTCCCCAGGGCCCACCTGTATCCATACCACTCTCTGCTTGGAGGCAGTGGCCAGACCACAGAGGTTCTAATACAGGTGCATCTTTCCCTTCTCTGCAGGTGGTAAAACGTCTTCCTAAAACCCGATCAGGGAAGATCATGAGAAGGCTGCTGAGGAAAGTAGTCACTGAACAATCAAGCAACATGGGAGATGTCACCACACTTGATGATCCAAGTGTTGTCAAGGAGATATTGGATGCTTACCAGAAATACAAGGAGAAGGGTTCCTCCTAACAGGAAGCTCTGGAATCCCTCTCCTCTGGAAACGTGGAAGGTCTCAAATAACTAGGCAAATGATGTAGTTATCTCTTGGTATTTTTTTAAAAACTTGTTTCCTTCTGGGGAGCAAGATTTTCCACTCCACAACATATTTTTGAGAGGCACAGAGCTAGAAGCAGTCTGCAGTTTTGCACAGTCAGTGAGCTCCCTTTCATTGCTTTTACAGCTGTTGTAGAGCAGCCATTGGTGGCTTCCATTAGCTGTGGTGAAATTCAATACTAGCTGAAGCAAGATGCAGACGTTAATGCTTCTCATATTAATGTTACCCTTCAGGGAAATGTTTTTATATAGTACTTTTACTGTTTTAAAAGAAGCTGTGGAATACACTTCTTCCATGTGTCCTTCAGCTTGGATATCCAAGTTCAAGTAGCTGTATTTCACTGCAACTGTGGTGCCTTTTCAGCAATGCTGGGTATTCTAGTAGATGTTTCACATGTGTCACTACAGAGATGAGAAGGACATGTCTAGTCTGATAATTCTTTCCTGTGTTTACCCAGTTGTTCTAATACCTCCTTCAGCTTTCCTCATAAGGATTTGTTCCTACCACTATATGTCCTGGGAGTTTCAAGAGATGCTGAGCCTGTGTCCCTTCATGTCCCACATAGACAACTCAGCACTAGCGCTTCCAGCCACAAAACTGAGCCACAGAGCCTACTGCTGGGCTTCCTATGTGTCCTCAATGCATTGCCAGTTGCAATGACCTAGAGTGGTCTAGTCCCACAGGTTTTCATCGTGCCTTCAGAAACTGAGATTACCAACTGGGTTTTTAAAGTAACTGTCCTCTTCCTCATCAATGATGACAACTCAATCAATGTTGACCATTGTGGTTCACTTCTACATACTGGAAGTGGTGGTCTACAACTGGTAGATCTAACCTTGACAGTTGGTGATTTGTGTAGGTGCCTTTGTTTCTTGAAGTCGCTATGAAAAGGGATGATGTTTGCTTGCTGCCTGTCAGAAAAGCATTGAGAAACAAAATCCTGAAGTGCTCAAGAGAGGTTTGGAGCTGAGATGTGCTGAAGGGTTCATTGTGACTTGCCATCTGACTAAGGAATGGTTATTATAGCCCACTCTCAAATGGCCTGTAATTTGGTTTGTTGCAGTTTGGAGGTATGTTGGTTCTCCTGTCAGAAGTTATGACTGAACGCTTACCGTTTCAAGTTGGCCCCTATCCATGTATGCCCCTTTCACATGCTGCCACGCTGATCTTCCAAAGAGTTAAGTGCCAAGTGGGTACCTGCAAATTGCACAATCTATGAAGAAGAAAGTGCCTTTTAGTTGCCTTCTGGTAGCATTCCAGACCAGCAACCTCAGAAGAGCAGGGAACAATAGCCTTTGTCTTTTATATGCTTTCAAAATAGCAAGAAATATGTTCACTGTTTTATTTCTGGACTTATTTTATCATGAACACATCTTGATTGAAGCACTCCTTATATTTGGGCTGTTCAGCAGAATTTACTAGTAGGCCTCCCATCCTCTGTTGCGCCACTGAAGGCCATGGAGAAGCCTGTAGGTGCCGAATGTGTTTGAGAGTTCTGCTACTCCTAAATTTGGTTTATCATAGAATCATTAAGGTTGGAAGAAACCTCTAAGATCAGGTCCAACCATCAACCTAACACCACCATGCCCACTAAACCATGTCCTGAAGTGCCACATCCACATGCTTTTTGAACACCTCCAGGGATGGTGATTCCACCACCTCCCTGGGCAGACTTTTCCAGTGTTTGACCACTCTTTCAGTAAATAAATTTTTCCTAATATCCAATCTAACCCTCCCCTGGTGCAACTTGAGGCCATTTCCTCTTGTCCTATCACTATTTACATGGACAAAGAGACCAACATCCACCTCTTTACAACCTCCTTTCAGGTAGTTGCAGAGAGCGATAAGGTCTCCCCTCAGACTCCTCCAAACTAAACAACCCCATTTCCCTCAGCTGCTCCTCACAAGACTTGTGCTCCAGACCCTTCACCAGCTTTGTTGCTCTTCTCTGGACACACTCCAGTGCCTCACTGCCCTTCTTGTAGTGAGGGGCCCAAAACTGGAGACAGTATTCAAAGCTGGCTGAGGGGTTCAGAGTGGTTGGAGAGGCCACAGTGCATGCAAGAGGGCATGGTAGAGGACTCCTCCCCTCTCCCTGGGTACAAAAGCTGAAGGTATAGCATGCCAGTATAGCATGCACAGTGGTGATCTTGGACGTGTCTGCCGCAAGGGCTCAGGCAGAGCTTCTCCATCTTAACCTGCCTAAGCCAAGAGACTTAACCTCCGTTGTAGAGCTGTGGCTGGGATCACTCCATCAAACCTTGCAGTCCTGCCTCTGTCTTTCTCCAATGACAGTCTGCTTAGTTTCACAGGGCTGTGTGTTTTGGCCCACCAAACCCCTGGGAAATTGACAGAATCATCAATTTTTGCCTTCATTTTACAAGGGAATTTATCTGGAGCAACACTGCCTTGTCCAGTGGTACTGTGTACTGGAAGGACAATCTATGCACCTAACCGAAGGCAGGAAAGGCAGGAAGGAAATGGCCAGGTGATCCTGTAGGACTGGGAGAGGAGTGGTGACTTTTCTGGTCAGCAGAGATTCTGGTAACAAATGGGGAAGCAGGCTCCTGGCACTGCGATGTCTTCTTAAAGGCAGGCGTGTTGTCTTAAATCCCAGAGCTGTATTTGCTGTTTGTTTGTTTTGTTGTTGTTTTTTTAAAAATTTATTTTAAATGTCTTTAGGGTCTGGGTAATACAGTAGGGAGTATTGTGCTTTGTTAAAATTCCCATTCTTCTGACTGCAATCCATTTTTGCTTAAGGTAAGTAGATACCCTGTAGACTTTGTGGGAAGTAGATCAGAAGGTTTGATAGAATTGACAGGATGTTAATATTTTAGGAGACAGCCACTACATATATCCTCTATTACTATTGCAAAAGAAAAAAAAAACCAAACACACACACTTAAGTGATTTTCAAGTGGGAAGCAGCCAGGAGTTGATGCTTTTGACAGAAAAAGTAGAGTCCCTTGTTTAAACAAGTTGTCTCCATGCAGTCTGAAATACAGCATGGAGAAAGAAAAATGACCTTCGAACAAGATTACACAATTTTCATCAAAAAAGCATTTCCTATATTATGGATATAGAATTTCCTTGTCCTGTTGACCTGACATTTCCATGATAACGTCTGACCCAGTTCCTCTGAACTGCCTCACAAAGACTAGCTATGTGATGAGCAGTGTGCTTTGATGCATTGAGACGTCCATCATACAATTCTGCTCCACATTTCCACAGTGGAGCCACAGTCCTTGGGGTGTCCATCCGCTCAGAGGCCCCCTTGGGGTGTTCAAAGAGAGCACATGGTGCTGTTGTGCTGCCCACATGGTGTTCTGCAGTGGACACAGCTCCTGCTGGGCAACCTCAGCCCCTGTCTCTCCTGGTAAAACTGCACTTCTGTAAGTGTACCTGCATTAGCTCTTGGAGCTAACACCCCATCTAATTAGTTCATCTAAGTAGAAACAGAGTCAAGCAGGCCTTGGAACTGGTACTTCTAACAAAAAGAAAAGTACTGCGCTTCTCTGGGTAGGCTACTCATAGAAGGCTTTGTAAAACAGATGAAATTTTCCAGCCAGAGAAGTCCCCCTTTCTTCTTTTTCCCCGTGATCTCTGCTAACTGCAGCGGTTGCATCTTCAGTGCAAGCCTGAGCCATACTTTGCATTTTCTTTATTCCCTGGACATCATGAACATCAGCACTAGTGTGTGGTGACAGTGCTTTCTGCACTGCATGCAAGCTGTCTCACTCCTCACCAGGCTTGTGGTTCAGGCAGGGGTTCAGCCTGCAGAACTGGCACTGGTGTCCTCAGTTCTTGAAATGCTGGGAAGGAGGTAGCTTTGAAAAGACACTGGGCCTGCAGTCTTAAAAGCTGATCTTCACTTATCAGTGAAGGAGGTAATGATACATGGAATACTTTACAGTGGGATCGTGGGACAAACTTGTGGGTAATTGCTTTATTTAGAAAAGCAGACCTGTTGAATTCTAAACCTTTGTGTGTCCATGAGTAATGTGTGGATTATTTGCCAGAGTGCCTTTGTAGCTTCATCAAAAGAGACCCAGAGTCAATTTTACCTGCTGCAGTTTGTTGCAAAGGGAAAATATGCTTGCTTTTTCTCCCATTCAGTTTTGCCAGTAAGACCTGGTCATGGTGCCTTTTTCTCCACTGGAGACACAGAAAATGATCTTCTTAATTTTAGAAAGGGAAAGTCTCTAGATATGAGGTATGTGTTGTACAGTCTAATGTTAAGCCTTTTATTTAATCTTGTTTTGTTGTAATCATGCTTTAAACACATTTACTGTCCTTGATGAAAACCAGTTTCTTCAATGATCTCTGTATTTGTATTTTCATTAAAGGAAATACTTTTCTCTGTGTGATGGGTTGGATAGGTGTCTGGCTTTCCACCCCCTAAAGGATCTGGGACTTTTTCAGTTCTTTGGACTTTTGTCTCCGTATCCTGATTATTTTAGTCTGCCAGCACAGACCAAAGAAAGGCAAAGGAGCTTGAGATCAGGATGAGTCATCCTGTGGTCCAGATTGCCGTTTTGCTTTGCTGCTTTTGCGTAAACAGTAGCTCGCAGGAAATGAGTTACTACCAGAAACCCCACTGCAAAACAACTCAGAAAGTGGAAGAACTAGCACCTGCTTGTCAGTAATCTGCCTGTCTCGTGTAAATCCTGAGGTCCTGGTACTCTACACTCCTTTTCCTGTGTGATGCAGAGAACAATTGGAACAATTAATTACCGTTAGTTGATATGGATGGTTCAGCTACTAATCCTCTTGTGTTGTGCACAGTGTGCCTAAGTAGGAGTGAAAATGGGATGTGTGTGGGGAACATGAGAGACAGCACTTTGTGTTTGGCTGTCCCAGAGCTAAGCAGATGAGAGAAGTTTGTTTCCAGGCACTACGGATCATTTGCAAGTGCCAGGAACACATCCTTTGCAGGGCATGTTGTCCATTGAGAAGTGAGGAAGATTGTATTTCACCCTCTGCATGGTTTCCCTCACAGATAACACTGTAGTTGTAATGCAGGGATGGACACTGAACATCCTCATTTGCCACTTCTGCTGCTACCTCA